CATGAATGGCAGGCTTATCAAGATATTCTCTGGCTTTCAAAGCTGCATAAGGCTGAGGAAGGGATTGAAAGTAGTTAGCTCCGTCTAAAGAGACACCAAACTCAAGTAGCATATACAAAAGAGCAGCTAGAGTTACCTGTAGATCTTCGTTATTTGTAACAAACTGCACAACACGGAACCAAATGTCATCACTGACGAAATCACCAGCCTTGTCAATTAATTGAAGGATGACATCAACATACCTGCATGCCAAACCACGAGGGACACTCTTAGCTGTTATCACATTGTAGATCCGTAAAGCAAGATTAGACAGTTTCAGCCACATTCATCTAAGTCTGAGTGCTTGATAGCTACTAAAAGCACAAGATTTGGAGTTAATATGCACAAAGAGAGCAATACAATCTTTGTATGATATATTTCTCATGATGGTCCCTTTTATAACAATTGACTGAATAAATCCCCTGAAAAGGCTTCAACAACCAAACCGAAGGACTTCGAGAAGACAAGATATTTGAATTTCGTCAACTTCAAAAGCAGGAGAAACGATATTTCGCTATATCCTTGATTCACAGTGTAGTCAGAATATGTATGCAACATGTTTTTTCGGATAAAGAACATATATGCAAAGTTTTTTAAACTCCAAATTCCCAAAGGCAACCATATATTGCTAAACTGCTCAAGAAAAGTGAAGTTTCATTATGTCAATATCTATTTCATACCATGACAAATCAGGAGCAAATTTCTCTGCAAGAATTGCAATTTTGAGTGACAGTTCTTCACGCATCACAAACTCTGCTGTATTAAGATACTGACAAACAAAACAGATCAGTTGCGTATTTTTTTACCTTGCCCATTCAAAACTTTTGTTCTACATATTATATAAATTAAATAACCATGAAAAGAAAAATTCAGAAAGTAACAATGCAGAATCCTGATACCTGCAATAATTCCTCCACTATGTCCTTGGCATTGGAAACATCACACATTCCATATAGTAAATCCAGGGCACGCCTCCTTATACTGTTTGTAATGCTTAATGTCAGTAAAAGAAAGCAATTTGATAGTTTCAAAGTTGAACTGACATAGGCTAAAAATAAAAAAATAGACACGCACACACGAGAGACTATTACTAACATCTTTTCCATCATTTCACCAGAAAAGATTAGGATATCTGAATAAAACAGCAGAGATACCGAATGTACTGCTTTGATGTCAGTAAATTGATAAGCAAAGCTCTCTTTAAGAAGTAACAATGCACATGTCACAAACAAAAAGTGTTTGAGCAGACAAATTTGAGCTTTTAACACTTAATCGCTGCAGCAGCATAGTTTACTTAATGTACCTCTGTTGAAAAACAAAAGCAGGGAATAGATGATAAGGAAACGGAAAAGCTCCANCAGGGCACGCCTCCTTATACTGTTTGTAGTGCTTAATGTCAGTAAAAGAAAGCAATTTGATAGTTTCAAAGTTGAACTGACATAGGCTAAGCTTAAAAAAATAGACACACACACACACAAGAGACTATTACTAACATCTTTTCCATCATTTCACCAGAAAAGATTAGGATATCTAAATAAAACAGCAGAGATACCGAATGTACTGCTTTGATGTCTTGATAAGCAAATCTCTCTTTAAGAAGTAACAATGCACATGTCACAAACAGAAAGTGTTTGAGCAGACAAATTTGAGCTTTTAAAACTTAGTCGCTGCAGCAGCATAGTTTACTTATTGTACCTCTGTTGAAAAACAAAAGCAGGGAATAGATGATAAGGAAAACGGAAAAGCTCCAAATAACCTGATATCAGGATCCTTCAGTGAGGTAATAATCTGGGCTTGATGTCTTTTTATGATGTCCTGTACATCTGTGACCATCAACATCCGAGTCATATTTTCCTGCACGGAATACAGAGATGTGGAAATCAGACAGTGGTTTATACAGGGTAATTGGATCTTTTTTGCAAGTTCCAACAGTTTGTGAGAATAGCATATCAGGAACTACAAGTGTGAAAGTGCAGCTGCTGAAATGAAGACCTCTTACATGCACAACAATAAGATACCTCTCTGTCCATTTTTACTTGTCCACTACACTAAAAAAAGATGTACACTTTTACTTGTCCAGTTTGGTAAACCAAGAGATAAACCATTTTACCTTTATTATTAAGTACTACTAATCATTTTCAATTCATTTCCGAACATTTGGATCTATAATAATCATATTTAATTTTCCAATAGTTAATAAATGCATCAGGTAACGTCCCTCAACTATCCCAACTAATCTATATATTGTATAAACTACTTATGCTTCTTGCGTTGTTGTCAAAGGAGCGCGTAAAGCGCGTTTAAGCCCTAAAGCGAAGGGCAAAACATGTTGAGCGTCTTGCCTCGCCCAGTGGACGCTTCAATGTCATCGTCAAGGCTCTTAGACATACTTTTCCTTGTCAATGAGTGCAATGTTGAAGGGACGACACTAAACAATTGATATTTCATTTTATCATATATATATTTTTAAATTTCTTTGTCCATATAATTGTTATTCATGCTTATAATATTGATCTTGGACTACACATGCATATTTGTATTTTTTCTCCATTAAAGCCCACACTTTATTTGCGCCTAAAGCCCAATAGACCGTAGAGCTTTTTTGTGCTTTTCGCCTTTGATAACACTGGTTTCTTGTTAAGCTTAATAAGTGCATCAGGCAACGTCCCTCCATTACACTTACAAAAATTCTCCAGAGTAAGTTGGTGAATTTATCTTGTAGCCATACCTTCGTGAACTCTCTCAATAGAATGAATATTTTAAAAGGGTTATTTTGGTGGGAAAATTTAAAAAATTGTATAAGGTGAAAAAAGGGTAGAACTTTCGCTCCAATTTTTTTATAAGGACTACGTGAATGTGTTAAAAACAATATTCAATTATTGGGTTGGAAACTCGAACAAACTGTTAGTTGGCTGCAACTGTTATGTTTGATTGATTTCAATTATTTAGATGACTTATTATAATTAGGGGTGGTATAGTAAAATTATCACTTTATTAATTACTTCTTAAGGGGTGTGCCTAGTCAAAACACGAACAAGTAACAATGGACGACCATTTTTGCTCGTCCATGTTTGACTAGGCACATCCCTTAAGAAGCAATTAATAAAATGATAATTTCACTCTATCACCCTAGTTATAAATAACTATCTAAATAATTGAAATCAATCATACATAGAAGTTGCAGCTAGTGGTGGCAAAATGGTTAAAAGAAAATAATTATTCACCCATATTATCCATTGAGAAATGGGTTGGATAATGAGCTTTTTAAAAACGGGTTAAATATGGATAAAAACCATATTATCTACTTAAATGGATAACTAATGGATTTAACTTTTACATTTGTAAATCTTCAAATAGGGAGTTCCGGTTTGGGAGACTAGGAATTCTCCCAAAAGTGATTATATTCAAGAAGCCATGGATAATATGGATATCCATATTATCCGCCGGTTAACCCATTTTTTATCCGTATTAACTATGGGTCGAGTCGGATAATTTAACGGTTTTTTGCGTTACCCGTTTTCGACCCGTCCATATCCGACCCGACCTGCCTGTTTGCCACCCCTAGTGCAGCCAACTAATAGTTCGTTCAAGTTTCCAACCCAATAATTAAATATTGGTTTTAACACTTTCACGCATCTCCAAAAAAAAAAATTGGAGCAAAACATTTTATCCTTTTTTCATCTTATACATTTTTTTAAAATTTTTCCACAGAAAATATCCCTTTTAAAAATGTTTCACTCTGTTGAGAGATCACAAAGGTATGGCTACAAGACAAATTCACCAAAATATTCCGAAGGTATGTATGCTTCACTCTGAAGAATTTCTGCTAAGAAACAAGGGTGATAGAGGGATGTTGCCTAATGCACTAATTAAGTTTAACAAAAAGCATAAGTACTCCATACAACATATAGGTTAGTTGTGGTAATGGAGGGACATTATCTGATGTGTTTATTAACTATTGGAAAACTAACTTTAACTATTATAAATCCAAAATGTTGGGAAACGAATCAAAAATGATTAGTAGTACTTAATAATAAGGGACAAGTAAAAATGGACCGAGGGAATAGTTTGTATGCGGCTAAAACTTACCAAACCGAGATAACGAATATTTGGTTCACGGACAGCAATGAATTTCCCAAGCAGTGCAACACATTGAGACATCATCTCTTTTTCAGCATCAAGATGCATGACCTACAGCAAATCAATTAGAAGTCAAACTTAGTAAGAATTCCAAGAAAGCAAGGGACAACTTAAAACAGCAGCCAGGCTTTGAAAATTCAGATAATGCAACAAGTCCATCTTATGTACCAAAAAAAGAACAGAGATCTTGTCACGTAGCTATAAATCCTGAATTTGTCAGGAAACTGGAAGAAATAGAAGATGCATAAGTTTGAAGTTGACATCATCACAAATGTCCAAGAAAAAGAGAACAGAAGCACCACATAGCAGTTTTGAATAACTAATCACCAGGCTTTCCACTTCAGGAATATCATTATTCATAGAGAACTAACTTAATGTAAGATGTCACTGCCATTAGCATATGAACAAGAAATCTTCATACAGAGCACAGATTTAAAGGGAAAGGATAATGGTTGATACATTTAGAAACTTACAAGAGCAAGGGCTTCAAAGAGGACAGCATGCGATGCATTGTTCTTGTTCACATTTTTCACCACATCGGTTCCCATCAATATCCTTTGCAAAACCTGATTGATTATAATGAATCCAGAACACTTTTGAGATTTTACTGCAGATTCCTTTTGGACAAATAAAGATCAAATAGAAAAGGTGATATGCTCTCAGTAAAAGAAGATTATTTCTGCTTAGCAGGCGAGCATACCTCAAACAGTGATCTTCTAGTATTTGGATCCTCAATAGTAGGAAAATACTGAAGAGCCCTCATAGTCTTTACCTGAAACGAGAATCATCAAAATTGAGACCATGCTTAAGCAGAGATGCCAGACTCTGACATATTCTTTCACATTGATGCATCAAATTTGACATCCTATCTGTGCGCCCAGCTCTATTTCATGCATTCAATGTGCATAAATTGATCACTCATCCAATTGCAAAGCATATTAGTATATATAAAGTTCAGGAGAACGTATTGAGTTTTTTTTCTTAAGCAAGTAATGGCTATTGCAGATTGCACAGGAAAAGTAAACAAACCTGAAGCCAGGGAGATGGGATCCCATAGTAGGTATATTCTTGTGGTACATCTTGGCTCCTTGCAAGCCTTTCCAATACTTTAACACATTTTGGAAGACAACTCCAATATTCTTCGTGGTTATATGACACCAATGCAACTAGAAGGCTCATGGAAGATGTCAAGACACCTAAATCCCGTTCATCTAGCAGTTGTGCCATCCGATCTGACCTGGATTATGAGGAAAACTCCAATTGTTGGGACATAAATGAAGTCAATTCATAAACATCCATATAAGTTATTACACTTACCAGCCATCTACATTCATGACATCAGGATTTTTCCTGAAAAGACGTAGGAGACATAATGCAGCCTTCTTCCTCACCAGTGGTCTGCAACTGCTTGATATCTGAATCAACAAAAAAAGGAAAAAAGAATAGAAAGCCCACGTCAGTCATAGACTTGGGATACTGACTGGCTACTGCAAAAATCACTTACTGCAAAAATCACTTACAAGTAACTTTTGAACATCAGGAGCTAGAGATTCTGCAAAGTCCCTTCCCCCAATATTTCCAACCTATACAGATATATCAAACAGTTGAAACTTGTAACGAACTAACAAAGAACAACGGATCTGCTTCTAGGAAGGAATTAAAAAAAAAGACCTGAAATTCGTACCAACGTCAATGCTAGACACTGGAAAGTCTCATTGCGGCCGACTATGTCATTGCGTACTGTATTAATGGCTAATCTTAAAAAATCATGATTCTCATTGAGCAAACACGATGTCACTATATACCCAACCTACAAAATACCAAAAAAATCAGTTGAACTTTTAAGCCTTTGCTTCAAAAAAATTACACAAAAAACGGAAGGTGCAACACAAGGAAGAGTGGCATATGCTAGCTCACCTATCAATATGAATGCATGGACATTACCAAGTAAAACAAGACATTGAGAACCCAAAACATTCTCCAATTTAATCAAATGTTAAACCGTGATAAAAACGGTTTTATGAGAAATATCAACCTCTGGAAGGTTCACGCTCATTATGAATAGACTAAACAGAAAAGAGTGTTGCATTCAACATGAATAAGGTCACCAAGATACTAGTATAAAAAGCAAGATGTGACAAAACAAATTGTGTTTTCCATACATTCTCAATTTACTAGTCATATACATCAATTCAGTCAAACAGATGAAAGACTTTTAACTTACCTAAACCAATTTTGATGAGTTATCCATGTCTAGAAATGAAAAAGGAAAAAAGAAGGTACCTGCTTCTCAGGATACTTTGGAGCAGATATCAGAGATACAGCTTCCATGTGACCAAAGTCCACATCATAACCAAGCATATAAATATACAGCATTTTCCAGACATATTTCTTCTTTTCATATGGTGTCAAACCCTGTATAACGCAAAATATAATTCAATATTCAGGGGCAACATATATGTTAATTTAACACACAATGAGGCAGGTCTATGGGTGATGATTTTAGGAGGAAAAAAAAGATGATTTTTTTTTATAAGCAAACATGGGAAAGCAGTGAACAAATATGGCAGGATCTGGTCCCTGATGACAAAGCATAGTTTGCAAGACTTATGGTGAACTGAAAAAGTCAACAGAAAGAACAAGAAAGGGGGAAACAAAGAAAATGAGAGAAAGATAGAAAGAT